TATATATATATATATATATATATATATATATACACACACAGATATATTTTTAAAAACCTCACCCGTTTGTCGTGCACGTTCATTGTAGCAATACAAAGCTGACGAAACCACCAGCCAGCATCGATTAATACAAAGAATACTCCACATTATTAACTCTCACTCTTGTGAGGATTACATCGACATCTGCCACATCATAAATTCTCCAAAATGACATACTTGAACAATGAGTTTCAGTTTACAATTGTTTTGCTGATGATGTTAATTTAGCACGGGTCTGACAAAATCATGTTAACATCAAGAAAACGATACAAAATATATGAATTAATCAACGTCTTTAGATCTTCCCAACTGTCCCATTGCCCAACTGCAGAGAAAATTATATTTTAGCCTCCTATTATGTTATATTTCAGATCATATTGACCCAATGCTATTTCAAACAATCTGGAACAGCCTTGAATTCATAATACAGGATGATCCAAAACTATTTTTCCAATTTTAAAATTTAATAACTAAATAACTAAGGAAATACAAAAATACAGTTTTCAACATATTGTGTCCAACTGAAACAGTTAATTATGAAATTTTAAAATAGGAAAAATAAATTTGGACCACCCTCTGTGTGTGTATTTATTTATTTGCATAGCTTTTACACTCTTATGTTAAGTGTTATAAGTTAATTTAAATAGTTATTGTTATAAACTCAAAGATATATTCAACTGCATCATCACGTTAAGGAAATAGGTGTCGGGACAAACAGATTCGAAACATAATAGGAGGATTAAGAATCAATTTCCTTTATCTTAATGCTGGAGGTAAATAATACTCAGGGTGCGTGTTGAATGTGTCAGTGTCGTACTCTTCGTGTGTTTGTGAAAGTTTGTTAATTGGCAAGTTAAGAATTGAATATATAAAAATTTTTGATATATTTTGTTGTCATACTTATTCCCCTATAAGGTACCCTTTAAACTTTTGTACGAGCCGTGACAGACTAGGAGTTTTACACAGTAAACTTATAAGATCTCAAAACATCACACTATGCTACACACACATCAGCCCCCGTAAGAAACAGTTATGAGATAGAGCGATGTCGAATCTTCGAAGAATAATCTCTCTGGGGTAATGGTGTAAAACGAGTTTCAATTAACGATGAGGTTGTTATAACCAAGCCACCCTAGCCTCATCATGAGCTCTGGCATTTCTTACAGAGTGAAACATTGTTATGAACCTTTTCCAGCAAATCACGAATAGGGTCATTTAAGATTGAAACGTTTAGGAATACATTGTTATTGCGACGTTTTATCACTTTGCTGACATCAAACTGATCATCCTTAGCCATACAATTAAATGGCCTCAACTAAATGAAGCTCCTCTAACACTTTAAGGCAACTGGATGCAAGTTTTTCACCTAGATTACAAATATTACATACAAGTATATTCTAGTAAGTTGGTTTCTTGTCTGGTATACTAATGACATCACTGGAGAAAGCTCCTACCGACGGATGTGTTTCATAGTTAGTAGTTTTTGAAATTGATATTTAATGTGTTTCACACTAAAGTCAGGCTGTGCTGCCCCCTGGCGAATGAAATGTTATAACTTTCACTTATCGACAATCTAGTTTGCTGGTTTACTGAATTACTACCTTAAACTGTTTACAAACGAGTAAATAATTGTGTACATCTCGAAAATAGCGTTTCAAATTTGGTAACGTATAGTCTTAAATATCTAATTTATTTAATAAAACATCCGATTATGCTAATAACAATTGAAATCTAGCGGGTCAGGTCCTGGTAAATTAGATTTGTCGACATTTTTCTCTCTCCCCCTTTCATTAAATATTTGTACAAGCGATAATACGATGCCTCCTATTCTTTACTTCTTACGAATTAACTATGAATATAATGGTAAACATAACAAAAAGCTGTGTGTATTTGAGTAAGAATAATTAATAAACATAGTGACTATTTCGATGTGTGTGTGTGTGCGCATGAATATCGAAGCTGTTTCTTTTAAGAAACAACCACTAGATAAGAAAAACAAACTAAAATGTGTTATCAGAACATCACTAGATAAGAAAAACAAACTAAAATGTGTTATCAGAACATCACTAGATAAGAAAAACAAACTAAAATGTGTTATCAGAACATCACTAGATAAGAAAAACAAACTAAAATGTGTTATCAGAACATCACTAGATAAGAAAAACAAACTAAAATGTGTTATCAGAACATCACTAGATAAGAAAAACAAACTAAAATGTGTTATCAGAACATCACTAGATAAGAAAAACAAACTAAAATGTGTTATCAGAACATTGGATGTACAATATTATATTTCAAGTTATCAAACTGGATGCATTCCAAGTAATCCCATCACGGGGCGTTACTCGAAGTCACGAAACCATGCAAAGTTTATGTAGAAATAATAATAACACACAATTAATCTTTAGTGGTATGATTATCAATAATTACATAAAACCAATTTGAGAAAAAACACTAAAGTTTCGTAAGAATCTAAACAAGCGACGCACAACAAAGTTCCCTTAAAACATGTTTAATGTTATTTATCAAATAAAAGATTAAATAATTTTTTCTTACTGCAGCTACTCTGTTGGTTTTCTCTTTTTGCTCAACTTTTCACTTCTTAGATATTCTTTCTACACATGTAAAACGCTATTCAACAGCACTATAAAACAACTATACTGTTGGTAACTATATTCTTTAATACCATGCAAAAGTTTTGTTAAGCCCATGGTTACATAATATGTTGTCTGTGCTTGCCCACCGCAGGCATCGAAACCTTATTTTTCGTGATATAAGCCCCAGCGGAAAAGAAAAAAAGAATATGGTTGTAAAATCTGTATATTTTATTAGCATATTATGTTGCGCCATCTATCAAAACTGTTCAAAACTAATGATAAAGATAATTCCTGGTAAAACAAGTTAGCACTTGTTAGAGCGTTAAATAGTTTTCCTTCAAGCAATAAAAACAACCTTTTTCCCTTAACCCGGATAAAATATTTAAGTGAATTATTAAGCTTCTAACTTCAAACTAAAAATAAATATTTGTTGAAATATTACAACTTAGAAAGCTAAAAAATATTTCTAAATGTCAATAATAAGACTTATTGCATACTTTTTTTTTCCAAAATTTCATTAACATATGAAGATGTTTTGTCATGGTTTACAAAATAGCATAAAGAGATGCATTTAATGTCCCTAGAATTAACTCTTTTTGTTGTTGTTGTTGCTGCTCCTGCTCGCGCGCTAACTCCAACACATTCGTTCTTTTAAAAACGCACTAAACAACACAACAGAAGAATTAGCGTTTTGAACCGCCAGCTGGCATCACGGCGATTGTGTCAAGTTTGGATCGGTCGAACGCCATCAATGTTGTGCACCGTCTTCTGTTGACGCAAATTTACAATCATTACCGTCAAAAAAGGTGTACATTATTGGGCAGTAATAATATATATATATTAATATAAAGATTAAACCCAAATGATGGCAGTAGATACATATTTATAAATTACAGATGAACATGAAACTTGAAGCCCACTTGTTTTTCTCAAAACATTATTTTTTATGAATCAGAAGAAAAAAAGAAAGCACAGCGAAAACCAGGCAAAACCCGTTTTGTCGATTATATACTACAAAGTACACATACACATTTTCATTAAATATCGACAAAGAAATGAAACACGCGAAGAAAAAAAATTAATGAAAAAATCACAGAATACATCAAACATACACACATGTATATTTAATTAACTCCTACAATTATCATATATTCAGGCTTATGCAATACCCGAACTTTAATAGTCAGTTTAAACTTTTAAACACGAATCTACGATTTTCAAGACACATAGTACGAATATATCAATGCTTTACGCGAGACACTTTTACTAATTCAGCGTTCGACAGGTTATTTTTCTTTTTCGTTGTACGTGAATTATCACATTAAAATGTATGTAACATTTTTCATCTAAAACAGTATTATTCTGTCATGATAAGCACTTAGTTTGTTAATTCTTAAATAACCCTATAGTTTTTATTTACCTTAGGATGCTGCTTGCGCGGAGAACGGACTGGCAGGCGTGGGGCCATGTGTCCTGTCAACTGAATCTACCGTTTGGAGTAACGGCAACGGTTGCAGAAACGAAGTGAAATAAACAGCTCTACAACGCTCAGTCTTACCAACCAAAGTATACTCGACATTCGATCGAGCCGATCCACTAGCGCAGGTAAGAGGGGAGACTAAAACTCACAACACCAGCGCCCTCTCATTAAATGTCTATGTAAGTCTCAACACAATAGGTATCAACCTGCAAACAATCCACGTGCTTACAAAAAAATAAAGCAGATATATTTTTTCAAAAGAACAACAGAACCTGAAAATGTCAAACCTATTTCATCTTATCCCACATATCAATAAAAGTATGTGACATCGAATATAGAAAAACTATTTGGAAAGTTATTTTAACTCTTCTATTACCAAGACATCTCATAAAAAAATACTAACAAAGGTACATTTTGTTGTTCGTCTATTATTTTATTATTCACGTACTTTTTCCTTCTTTGTTTTACATAACGACCTTACTGAATTTAAATATTCACCTGTTTAACAACTAAACATTAACATTTCGTTTTTATAAAACAAATTCGCCTAAAATGAGAACTATATTTTCTGTTTAAATAAAACATATCCTGAAGAGCATAACACGTCTTCTGTAGTTTGTTTTTATCCATAACTGTCGCATCACATGACATTCGAAACAAAGATTCTGCTGAAACCCGAGGAACTAATGATTGTGCGATATTGTTTTGATGCTTCTAATACTCTGCTTGTCACACTATAACACAGTGACTCCTTAAAAGAAGGTTTCTGAACAATATAATTACAAAAATTAACTCACAAGCGAATGAGTTGTGTGTGAAACACGAAAAAGAACACAAAAGGCCGAAGATTTTATAAAGAGAGTTTAAATATTTACATAACTTCAGTTTTCACAACATGTTGAGATTTTTAACGCCCATCTTGTGGTGAAGTAGTGGTAATCGTAGGTTAACTTTTGAAGAATGTTCTTCTAACATCAGTAAATGTCATAACAAAAACAGCCTAAAAATAAACATAAAACTTCGCCACTCACGGGCTCTCCAGTCGATTTCAATCCCTGTCCAACCGGTATATACAAGATTGGTGTTAAAAGGAACAATTCCTATTAGAGAGACTTACAAAAATAATACAATAGCGGAACATGTTACTATTGTATTATTTTTGTAAGTTCAACGAGTTACCAGCCAATTTACTGTACTCCTACCCTAACGCCCCCCAGTGGCACGGCGGTATGTCTGTGGATTTACAACGCTAGAAACCGGGTTTCGATACCCGTGGTGGGCATGGGCACAGATAGTCCATTGTGTAGCTTTGTGCTTAACTTCAAACAAAAAAACCTACCCTAACGCAGGCCATCGTTTTCGGTGGACAGTTGAAAAGAAATTTCAACCCTACAAGTTCAGATTTAACATCATAAAATGATATCTTGCTGGTTATCTTTAAGAAGACACACTTGCATAAAAAAGAAATGCTGATTTCGATGTGTTTGTTTATTTAAACACACAACTACATAAAGAGCTATCTGTACTGTACCCATCGCAGGGATAGAACCCCAAATTTTAGTGCTATGAGCCTTCAAAATGGCCAATGAACATGTTAAACGTAAACTACTAAATAGAAGGTATTTCAATGTGCTACTTTGAAAGAAAAATAAACCAGTATTTTGTGACTGCAAGCAACTGATCACAATCGACAGAAAACTTAAACTTTAGCAAGGGCTGACAAACGCTGATTTCAGTAATATCAGAGACATCTCGTTGTAAAATCTGCATGTCTTGCCAAGCACCTCCACTTTGCAACTCCTGGATATGCTACGGGATTGTAGGAGGTTCGATGCAGAAGGATGGCGTTCGCAAAACGCTCGTGATAGTAGATTCATACTAAGCCTTACTTTTTAGTGATAGATATTCATATCAAAATAATATAGATACAAACTCAGATGGATAAACTAATGGTAAAAATAAAACAGTACACCAGTGATGTATAAGGTTGTTTTTTTCTCCACGGCTTCTAAATATAACAAAGTTTCCGTTTTATATAGGTATTTAATTTCGATAAAATTTGCATTTTGACTTTCTGATATATTTTTTTCTTTTACGAATGACTTGATTACAATTTCCCATTATTACTATGTATATTTTTTTAGTAAAAATATCAAATCACTTTATCCAACATAAAACACACACTAAGTCTCCTTTGTTAACGTTAAAACATTATTATTTTTATGTAAATTACGTATGGTAAAACATGAAACCATAACAACAAAATGAAAGTTTGGTTTTGGATTTTTTGAGCAAAGCTACACAAGTGATTTCTGTACTAACCATTTCTTATAATGGCTGGAGACGGCTTGAATGGGTAATGAAGAAAAACTTTAATATAAGTTTAGAATAACAGCAAATGTTCAACGTTTCGACAAGGTTTTGTCA